TGTATTTGTTTGGAAATGTGCTGCCTCTTGGCCAGGACTCCCTTGAAAAAGAGGTTTTTGATCTCAACGGGACATTCCTGGTTAAATAAAATAAAAATACAAGTTTCAGATTTGAAATCACAGTTTTAACACAATCTTAAATTTGACATAACAATTTAACATTTAAAATATGACTAAATAAGAAAATGAAGATGAACTCTGTATTAAAATGTAGATAAAAATGAGACATTTCAAATCCTTTAACTTGTTTTGACCAGTTACCCATCCCACATTTCATTTTAGAACTTTAGATAGCTTGTCTTAAACTTCCATTCAGCTTGTACTTACAGTCATGCAGGGAACGATTTCAGGTTTTTATTAAGAAATAAAAACAATTACTGGATTGTGATTTTACTGCGCAGATGTGTGGTGTTCTGTCATTCACTCTTTACTTACCCCCACGCCGCGGATTACCTTTTTTCTTTCCATCTACCATGAAATCAAGATGAAAAACATGGAATCAGCAATTTCATAATAGTAAATGAAAAAGAACAAATAAAGTACAGACATTATAAACAGCCCAATACAATGACTATGATAGCAAATACTGCTGATGCTGTCCATAGAGCATTTCATATTTAAAATTTTCAAGTTAAACAGAGTAAAACAGAAACCATTTATTTTTTAGAAATGCACTGATGTGCAGATGTGTGTTACACTGACATTCAGCTTTTACTTACACGTATCTGGTATTGAACACATTTCCATGGGGGAGCCAACTAGGATAAAATGAGATTAAAGTCTTTTATAAGAATTTTTTCAAAGGGCATTTTTCATGTCATTTATTTAAACACTGATTAAATGTATGGGATCTTCATGTGGTCAGTCCGGATGCTTGCTCACCTACCTCCATGGTCCCTGCAGTATTTACAAAGCTTGATCACCATGCTTGATTTGTCAGATTGTTTAATTATTCATTGTTCTTCTGTGTTTAGTTTCTTCCTATCAGTATTTTTGATTCTTTGTAACAAACCCTTTGAAGAAAACAAGCCACATTTTGCTTTAACTGGCATGTTTTTGGATTCTGACTTCAGGAACCTCTAAACTGGTTCTAATGTTCTGCTCTAAGTTATCATTGAAGTACTTTTATTCATGTTCATCCGCCTTTGTCTTCAGGTTGTGTGTGACAATTAGTTTTTGCTTTTGTAGTAACAAATGTATAATTCCTCTAATACTCTTCATACTCAAAACTAAAATCTTCTGATTGCTATTTTTTAAAAATACGGGGATACTGCCGTGTCTCTCTGCTCTTAACATTATCACTGCCCTGCTTTCATTCACTCAGCTGCAGGTATACATGTGTTAAATCTCAGGGATGCAGCAAACGTCCATGCACACACGTACCTTCCAATGCCAATAACTCTGCTTTGTACTTACTCATTCTAGGATGACCAAGCAATACTGATCCAAATCTTTGTGTCACTTTAAGATAAAAAAAAAGAAGAAAAAAAAAAGAGTGAGGGTATGAGGTCCGGATTGGACAGGAAGAAATGCAAAAATTGTTTGTTGTACTTTCATTCAGGTTTTTACTTCTTGCTAGTTTCTGATCTTTGGAGATCACTTTGGAAAACAAGCAACTACTACCTAACTGCTTTGTTTTTAAGTTAAGTTTTTTAGGATTTAGAATTAACTCTATTATTCTGCAATTAAAGCAGTCATTACATTCACCTCATTGAAGTTCAGCTATCTTTATCTTCAGAGCTGTGGCTCACAGAGTTTTAGTTTGGGGATTTAAAATAAACTCACTGGGCGTCGGAATATTTCTGCGCACAAGAGGTCCTTGGATCACCCTGCTGTTGTCTTTGTTGACAGCAATGAAGGCAGTGAAAGAACTGCTCACTCCTGATTGGACACTGAGCCGCACCAACTTTTTCTTCACTTCTCCATCTTGCTGTCCTCTACTCTCTCTCTCCTCCAACTCCAGTGAGCGAATCAGAGTACGAGCACCCAACCTGTGGACTGTTAATCTGCAGACATGACACAAAAAAACCATCTTCTGTTCTAATGTCTATCATTTTACTAGATTAACTTATCAGTAACTTTGTCTATACCACTGCATCCTCTTCAGGGTCCTACAGAGGTGAAGTTTAATCCACCACTTTGGTAAAGAATCACAATGATAACATACCAAGTTTATCTGAAGACAGTAGAGTGATCCAATATATTCAAGGATACAAACATACATACATTGAAATGCATGCATGCATTCATGAACTTTGGTTAATCAAGTTTAGTTCTTAAACATTATAAAGTGTTTACTGTATAGTGTAGAAATTGTTTAATGTATAATGTTACCATTTTTATTTTA